GACTCCGTCGGGCTCCATCACGATGGCCGTTGGACTCGTGGCCCGACCGCGCAGATTGGGTCCAACCTGTTTCGCCAGGGAAGCATCCCCTGGAAGTCCACCAAGAATACAGGGCAGATGGCCTCCAGCGCTCCCTGGAGCGACTGTCTCGCCACTCACCTCCGATAGGAGTCCCATGCTTGGATCGTTCCATCAGAAGACTGGCTGTCGTTCTGCCGCCGAAGATTGAAGGGAGACGAGATCGACCCAGGGCAACAATAACATGAATAATCAAAATTAAGCGACAAGCAAAAGGTTTCAATGCTCTGCCTTGCCACCAGTCGAACCGTCTCACTGGCGCCGCTTGGTTGCCGGGGCGGCTCCGGTTTTGCGACATCAAAAGGGTCACTGCATTCGCAGGATTGATTTACGCGAATTGAATTGAAAAGGCAGGACCTAGGGGACTTGAGTAAGCACGAATTGTAACAAGAAACAAATTATCTGTTGCCTGTGAATGAGTGGAAGTGAAGATCCTCCGTGAAATCTGGGCCAGGCTTCTGATGGAGGTCCTCCTGCCCCTGAAAATCATTGTGTCCCTGAATCCAACCCGACCTCTTTTACCCTTGAATTCCTCCCTACAAATCCACCACCATCGCTTCCTTCGGCCGCCCGAACATGTGGATGGCCACACCCGCACGCTCGCACGACGAGTGCTCGCTCTTGCCAATTCCCCCTTCCTCAGGATACGACACCACCGCCGCATACACGCCCCCCTCGCCCTCTTCATTCTCATGCTCCTCGAAGCTGTCAACCACCGCTCCGCAAACACCCCTGACCACGAGCTTCTCCAGGTACCCATGACCCAGCGACAGCCCCTCCGCGTCGCGCGGAGTGATCAGCACTCTCGCCCTCACCATTCCATCCTCCGACCGCTTCTGCCCCTCCAGAGCCCTCAGCCGGACCCGCGTCCTCTCCTTGGCCGCCCGGGGTAGCACGTCAAGCACATGCTCCGCCTCGCGCACAATGCAGTCGAGTCTCCCGCATGCCCGCTGGTTGCAAAGCCTCACACGCGCATGGAGCTTGTACTCCCCGTCGAAACGCGTCAGGCCCGCCAGCGACGCCTCGAAATGATGGTCGCCCGCTGCACGGTCGCCGCCGGATCCGTCGTCGCGGAGGGCAAACGTCTTGGTCTCCGTTTCGATCTTGGCCCCCGGTGCATCTTCGTCCTTGGGTTCGACTTGGACCGCAGCCAGAGAGGAAAGGGGTCGCGTGATGGTCACGTTGGCTGTGACTTGCGAGAAACCGCAGTCGGGCCAGTGGGGAGCGGGGATGTAGAACGACGGGTGAAGATCCTCTCCAACGTAGGTGTTGGCCGTGTAGGTCTCTGGCTTGAGGCGGACGGCAGATTTGGCCAGCACGCTGATGAAGTAGTCGACGCCGCCACTGCCGCTGCCTCCCCCGACAGCGACCAAGGCCGAGCCGCGAAGACCGCCCGAGTAACTGGCCTGCGCGGCGCCTCCAGTGAGGGCATATGAGCGCGCGTCGCGGACCAGGGGATTCTGGAGCCCAAGTTGGCCTGAGAAGAACTGGGAGTCGCCTGGCGTCAGGGATGTTCCGTCGGCCGAGGTGACAAAAGCCCCGCGAGTGACGCCCGCACATCGAAGGATGGCATCGGCAGAGGAGACGGGCCGTCCATCGCTGACGATGTACTGGACCTTTCCGTCGCAGAGCAGAGAGCTGAGCGCTTGGTCATAGGGCTGTGCACCACCAGGGCCTGGGGCGTTGTAGACGACAAGGCCCCAACCTCCTCGGGACAGCAGCGAAGCAAACTCCTCGGCGCTCTTCGCAACAGTCGTGTTGCCAAGGCTGCCGCGGGATGACTCAGTGAGGACTGCGTCGTGGTACATGGAGGAACCACCGCCGTGAGAAGCGCTCGTGGCGTTCGTGACGTCCTGGTAGTAAAGAACGGTTGCACAGCCGCCGCTAGCACACAGGGAAGCAACCTGGCTTCGCACAAGGGCGGCACCGGCGGTCTGATCGGCCAGAGCCAGGGAGTTGAAGCCATTGACGAAGCCCCGGGCGGGCTGCAGAACCGCACGAGCAGCCCAGTCGCCGTTCCGCTCGCCCTGGTATGGCAGCTTGACGCGAACAACATGCCAAGTGCGGCCAACGCGGCTCTGAACACCAGGTCCGGCAAGGTTGAGGACACCACCCGACGGTGTCGTGACGGCCAGCCGAAGACGAGCGTTGGGGTCGGCCCAGCCCAGAACGAAGATGATGGCATCATCGCTCATCGCCCCATGGATTGTCGGCGGCGAGATGGGCGAGGTGTACGGCAGCACATCGAGAGGGTCGATGGCTTGAACCGCGTCGAACATGTTGGAGAAGCATTGCACGAATACCTTCTTCAGCTCGACGGGATCCTGAGTGCTGGTCCAGATGCCGCCCTGCTTTTCGGCCAGGTTGCGCAGCTTGGCGCCGTCGAGGTTGCTTGGGCTCGCGAAACCGATAGCACAGAGATTTGTGTCCCCAAGATTGACGTTGGCGATCATCGGTGCGACATTCTCGCGCCCGTCAGTGAGAAGCACAATGCCCTTGCGTGGCTGTGAGCCGCTCGTAACGAGGGCCTGGCCGGCATTGAGGCCGGCACCGATGCTGGTGGTGCCGCTGGCGGTAACGGAGGACATGGCGGAGCCGAGAGCAGACGAGAAAGTCGCGGCGTTTGTAAGGCCAAGGTTCGTTGTCGCTGCGTTGGAAAAACTGACGAGCCCTAGGCGATGACCTTCGGTGATGTCGATCATGTCGGCGAACATCTGTGCTGCGTCCTTGGCTGCTTGGAGTCGGGTGATGCCGAAGCTGGGGATGGTTGCGGACATGCTTCCAGAGCGGTCCATGACGATAGCGACATTGGCATCTTGCAGTGAGTGCCAAGTATCCTGGATCTCGTTGAAAATTGTATGATAGCGCCAGAAGATGGGATCGCGCGGCGACGTGCCGACGCACCCTATGTCGCCCCTGGCTGCGGTCGACTGGCTCCCGCAGTTGAAGTTGCCGGTAAGCGCTCCATGGATACCGTTGTGCCAGCCGACGATGGCATCGCCTAGGGCCTTCACCGTGGGATAGCCGCCCAAGGCGGGTACTTGGAAGCTGGTGGGAAGCGAGGAGCAGAAGTTGCACTGCCAGTTCTGGGGACGTGAGACGTGGCCAGGAGGCACGGGGGCGCCGGGGCTTGGGTAGAAGGGAGGAGGAAAAGCAAAGCCCTGGTCGGCAAGGTAGAAGCGATAGCCTAGGTCGAACTGCTTGTGGAAACCAAAGAAGCGGCGGCCAAACTCGGGTTGGCCGTCAGGGTATGTGCAGTGCCAGTTGGCATGGAATTGGAGGAGGGTCTGGGTTGCTGGGGCGGGCGAGCTGCAGCCCCAGGGCATGGGAATGAAGCCATGAATGCTGCTGATGGGCAGGGTCATGAAGTTGGCCGTCTCGAGCTCGTAAGTTGGAGCCTGTGCAAGAGTGGCCCTTGGGAGCATGAGAAGGGAGAGAAGCATGGCCGTGAGGCCCGCGAGGGAAGCCATGTCTGACTCTGATAACTTGGGGCAGTGAGAATGAGATGCTGAAAGGTCTATATTGATCAGCCCAAAGGTCAATATCCCCGTCTCACAGCGACCTTTTATGCTTTTCAAGTCGGGGTAGTCGGTCACCCATCTCCTTTCCTCGCTCTTGTCTGGGCGAGAGATACTCTGCAGCCCATTTCCAGTCTTCCATACTTACCCGATACTCTCAACTAGCAAGTCATCCAGACCTCTGGGCTCGATCTATTGCTTACCGTTTCGGAAGCGGTCGTCAAAAGAAGGACAAATCCGGCCCCACGGTGGCCTCGGTCCGCGCCGGTAGCTCTATCGGCTGCCCTGCATATGCACTGCAACATCCCATGAACGGCTGGAGACGCCACATGGACGCCTCATAAGGCCCACCGATATCGGAAAGTCTCCAAGATAGTGATTCAGAGGTGAAGCCCTTCAAATTTGTGGTCTTGCTCGCCTGGGTGAATCAAAGTCCAGCCCGGGCAAATGTGTTTCCAGGAAACGCCCCCATCTGGGAGTCGGGTGGCGCCTCCGTATGAGCCGCCATACCGCTTGTCACATTATCCACCTGTTCATAGGCGTCAGACAGTAAAATATTGGGACATATACTGAGGTCCTTAGCCCCCGTTTCTGTAGGTTTGAGATCAGCAAACAAACCCTTGGACTGTGCTGTCTCAGCATGATCTACACAATCAAAACCGCGTGACATTAACTCCGGAACTTGTGACTAATGATCCATACCCTTGGGAGACCCCTAGAAAGTCAAGCCAGTTAATGCTCTCCGAAAAAAAGCCCTGTCAGCGTACGGATCTGAGGGGTTGCATTGACAGGTCGCATCGCCTGCGTTGCCATTCGTGGAACATGGGTCGCAGAGCAGCCGGCATATTGTGGCTGGACGGGGCCGGCAAAAGTCCCTGCCGTAGTATCGGAGGCGGCATGGCAGCTGGAGCTGAGATACTTATGGCTTCCAGGTTCATTCAAAGATGCAAGGCCATTGGTCTTCGCTATGCGTTGCCACTTGCGGCGGTCAAGGGACGTCCTCCTTTAGGAAAAACATCACATGCCCCCGAAGTTTTGACGTCCCTCTGAATTGACCGAGACCGGTGAAGACGCATAAACAATAAAGACTTGCGGCATTTGCGGGTCTTCTCCCGCCGTGATTTCAAGTCAGAGTTGCCGCGCTTGTGCAGTGAAGCTTCTTGGTGTGATGGCCAATTCCTATCTGTCGGGTCTCCCCGAGGGCCCTACTTGGCACCTGCGGTCCTGATGAGCCTTACAAACTTCATGGGGTAAGCCCAAGGCCTTTTGATCTCTCCTGAGAGTTAGCCCAAGTATAGAGCCAAGGTACACGAACACTTTGTTCCATGAGAATTACAAGAAACCTACTGCTGGCGACGTCAGATTTTCCAGAATATAGCATGTCATGTGATCGATGGAGTCATCGGCGAGATGGCCGAGTGGTCTAAGGCGCTAGTTTCAGGAGAAGGGTCCCTCGGGATCTTGATCAAGCCTACTAGTCAGTAATGGCGTGGGTTCGAATCCCACTCTCGTCAAACGTATTTTTGCTCATGTCACCGAGATCGACCGTTCAAGTGACCTCATGGGCCTGCGGGCAAGCAAGTTCCCCTCTCCTTTTGCTCGAAAGCTTGCTAGCGATGACTGCCCAAGCTCAAGCTGCTTCATCCTCAATTTCCAGGTTCCCGACCTTGAACTTTTGACCCTTCCTGTCGGCATAGTCTTGGTGGTTGTGATAATCCTTAACCCTCTCTCGGACGTACTCCAAACCCGTCACTGGTTTCCCGTGCTCGTCCCCTTCTTTGACAAGACCAAGCCGCTGAAGAAGCGGAGATGGGGCAGGTTTGATGTCAACATTGTCTCCTGGCCGAACAAAGTAGAAGAGCCCCTGACGGAAGAGATGGGCCTGGTCTTCCGGAGGACGCTGAACTCTGTGGGTGGTTGACTTGAAATATCCTGCCGACCAAAAGTCGAGTGTGTCCCCGACGTTGCAAACGATCCCGTTGTCGACTGGGGGGACATACTTCCACTCTCCTGATGATGTCTTGATCTGAAGTCCTGCGACATCCTGGCTCCAGAGCAGAGTCAAGGATCCAAAGTCGGTGTGCGCACGAGACCAGGTGTTTTGGACACGAAGATCGTCGGCAAGAGGCCTGGGGTGGTATCTCATGTAGCGGAGATGATCCTCGCTGGGCAACTCGTATGCATGACGAGAGGAGAAGTAGTCCTCCGGCAGCTCAAGGATGATTGCGAAGAGCGTGAAGATTTTGCTCGCAAGAGCAAGAGATTTCTAGTTTAGGCACGGTCAACCCTGTCACAGAGCTCTAAGAAAAATTACCAGCGGTAACTTACTCGAGAAAAGGCCTCGATCTCAGTCTTGTAGGGATGGAAGAAGGGGTGAAATGGCTCTTTCTCATAGTGAGAAATGAACTTGGGAATGTTGACGGACTCGATGTTATCGAGGACATCTGTACTTTGGATGGCCTTCTCGTGTGCCTGGGGACTGGTTTAGCATCTCGCCAGTCATGAATAGCTCAGACACGTACTGGACGGTAGCCAAAATAGTTGCCTTGGGTAAAGTCGCAGCGGTACTTGGCATCGCCCTTCTCCTCAACGGGCAGGTGGAAATACTCCTGGCCGATATCGTACTGGCGTTGGACCTCTTCGGGTGTGAAACCAGTGCTCGTCAAGCTGAAGAACCCTGTCTTGTGCACCTGGATTACCATTTTAGCCCCAATTCCAAACATTTGCATATTGCTGAAACAACTGACTGCTTCACGAAGATCCTCTGCAAGTCGCTCCTTGCCGCCAGGAAGATCGTAGGTGCTCAGGTCAATGACCTTGATATCGGCCCATGGCAGGTCTGCGGTTGTCTTCTCAGGGCGCTTCCAGTGTGGGATAGACGGAACCCCGGCCGTCAACAATGCGGGAGCCATCTCTTCAGCTGATCGGGATAACCTAATGCCGTTTGTCAGAGAAGGAAATATTAGACAAGCGGCGCAACGCTTCCTCGACACCAAGGTAGAATGCGCCTTATATCTTTGAGATCAGTCGTGATCTTCACTTGCGCCGGTGCCATGCATGCAGGACATGTCATCGCATCCAGAGAGCGCTACCTTGGCAAGCACGCCATTGAAGCACGCCATCAACACCCGCAATTGCGAACGAGAGAGCAACCATCCCACAGGCGATTCAAATACTCTTGGACCCATATCCCCAACTTCTTGTTGTTAAAGTCAAGTTTACCATTCGTCGCCTTTGATGATCAACGTCGGGAGTCCCCCGAAGCCGCACGCCAAGCCGGCATGGCTTTGAACGCCACACGCTGCACCAGCACCGTTGACGAGCCGTGCCACCCCTCGCCGGTGATCTAACATGACCTTGCTCGCTAAGGATTGCGGAATCTACCAAAATGAAGTGTCCTGTACCCAGTAAGGCCCAAGAGAGATCCTTCCATCTCTCGATAATCGCTGCCGGAGTATCATTCATGCATGCCGGGGAGGACTCCCACCCACATCTCCTTGCATGGCGTGATTAAACCCCCAAATTCGTGACGGAACTGGAGAGAATTCCCCCAAAAAGTCCGTGAGATGCAGTGATTGAGTCCCGATGTCGGGCCTGGCCCGACGGCTCATAATGTCAGTGCTCTAGACATCTCACGATATAGCAGAGCCACTATTCCTTCTGCTTTCTTGTGAAACAATTCCTCTGGAAAAGCCATCAGCAGCTGCTTCATCTAAAACTCAGATTCGACAATGGGGTCTTCCAAGGAAGTCATTTCCTCTCCCCCCAGCACCGACGAGAGCCACGATGAACAGGACCACCTCCGAAAAGCACACCGCAAGGTCGACAAGAGGCTTTTGATTTGGTACGCTTTTGTGTACCTGATCATGCGCATTCATGTCAGCAACATCAGCAATGCCGCTATCATCAACCTGGAGGAGGGCACCGGCATCCGCAAGCAGCTCGGCAACCTTACAAGTCAACAGTGGGCATGGGCGCTGAGCATCTTCTACTACCCCTACATGTTCCTCGAACCTGTGGCAACCTTGGCTCTCAAGAAATTCTCCCCATCGGTCTGGATGAGTCGCATCATGTTCACATGGGTAGGTGCTTCTACTGCGAGTGAGATCCTGTGCTAATCGCATGACAGGGAATCATCTCGATGTGCCAAGGTGCGACGCAGAACTACGCTGGCATCCTGGCTTGTCGCTTCTTTCTCGGAGCGGCAGAGGCTGGATTCTACCCTGGAGTGCTGTGAGTTGAGACAAGGATCATTCGTCCCAGGTGCTTGCTGACTGGACACAAGATACCACCTAAGCTTCTGGTACCCTACCGAGAAGCTGCCCCTCAGGATTGTGAGTACACACGGTAATATAAGAGGGATTGGTACTGACATCGACTGCAGGCTTTCTTCTATGCATGTGGCATGTTCTCAGGCACGATCAGTGGCTTGCTTGGTTGGTTCCCGCCGAGCTTGAACTTACTCTTTTGACTGATACGTTTCAAGCATACGCAATCTCTTTTATGAACGGGGTCGGTGGACTTGCCGGATGGAGATGGGTAAGTCACTCGCAACGCGGTTAATCGAGTCGCCTGTCTTACCCCTGTTAGCTATTCATCTTGGAGGGTATCCCTGCCATACTTTGTGCAGTTTACACCTTCTTCTTCCTCCCAAACTGTAGGTCCTGTTCCCGTATCCCATGACACCCTAGCTGACGACAGACAGACCCCGAGACAGTCAAGTTTCTCACCGAGCCCGAGCGCAACGCTATCATCAACGATCTTCCTGAGCAGGCGCCAACGATGAAAGCTAGCACCTTCAACCTTGAGCAAGTCAAGGAACTATTCCGGGATCCGAATTTTGTGCCATTCTTGATGATTTGGATCACACATGGCATTGGTGGCTGGGGCATCTCCTTCGTCCTGCCTACGGTTATTTACGAACTCGGCATTTCCGGCACGGGTACTGCCATCTCACAGGTCATGACAATGCCACCATTCACGCTCGTCTTCGTCATCCTTCTCACCCTCGCGTTCTTCATCCACCACGGTCGCCTTAGTCCCTGGGCTGCCGGTCTTGGGGTTGAAGCGGTGCAGATCGTCTGCTACATCCTGCTCATCACCGTCCGTCACCCTGTGGCCAAGTACATCTTTGTCACGATCGCAACAGCTGCTTCGCAGAGCTTTTTTCCAATCGTTTGGCCTGGTAAGTTGATTCTTGGTGTGATCTCATTCAAGTGTGGGGAAAACATTGACTGACATTGTGGAAGAACGCATCCGCGCAGCCAGAGGCACAACATCTGCAGGACTGGCAATTGGTATCACAAATGTGAGTGAAACTCGAAGAAGGAGAACTTTAGAACATGCTCCGTGAGCACTGCAACTGACTTTCACGAACGCAGGCATCATGTCAACTGATGGGCATCGTGGGACCCCAGATTTACCAGCCCAAGTTTGGTCCGACATATCGAGTCAGTTTCGCGACATCTATCGGCCTTCTTTCATGCACGATCATCTCTGTAGCAACAAGCTGGTACTTTGTCGTCAAAGGAGATCGTCTGAGGGCTCAGAAGGAAGGCGAGGCCACAGTCCAAGCGAGCGACAAGGTGGTCAACACCACGGAGGCCGAGTCAAGCCGCGACGAAGAAGAAGTCCCCTCGAAAGTGTCCGAAATAGGGTCGAAGTGACTACGTTGTCTTCTTATTCAATTAGGTAGACTCAAGTAGGCACATGTGGCGTAGCGGTTTTAATGGTTGCCTCATCATTGTCCCGGTTCCTCGGCACTGCAAAAATACACCACCTCGACGTCAAGCATTGTGTCAAATTTGCTTGAAAGAAGAGATGAAGCCTTGAAGTCAAGATTCATAATTTTGGATCTCGTCGTGTTCGGCCCTCCTCCCCCTGCCCCTCATGTGCCTCCAGCTGGCTGTATCTCCTCCATGACGGCCTCGTACCACGCGCTCAGTGCATCGTCCATGTCCACCACACCATCATCGAAAAAGCTAGAAACGTGACTCATGTACATCTCGACGCCCTTATCACCAGAGAAGAAGAGATCCGGAGCATTGACTTCAATCGCCCCCAAAGAGTAGGGCTCGGCTACGGGCTGCTGCCCTGCTCTTGCCAGCACCGATCCAGAGTATACCTTGGTCTTGACGGCCTGCAGAAGATCTCCGTATCTCTTCAAGCCTGGTATCTGGAGTCGTGTGATACCCTCTCGTATCAGTCGGAGGCATACGTTGGCGTCGTCCCTATGTCGTGCTGACCCGGTGGCCCCATCCCTCGCTACTGCCATGAACTGCCTGAACGCATGTTAGATAACACTCCCTTCAGAGAAGGGAAGAAACCCACCAGTCGCAGTAGAGCGCCGCCAGTCCGACCACAAGGATAGAGTGAAGCTGTCGAAACGATCGACATACTGCTTCTATACCGTGGCCAGCCTCAATCCGCAGCCATTGTCTCACCGCCGACGCCGCCGCTCTCGAGCATGCTGCCACCATAGCCCCGGATGGGACCATAAACGTCGGGCTTGGCC